ATGTGTGATCGTTGTGGACCTTATTTGTGAGGACCTGTAGGACTTTGTTATCTGGTATGTTAGGGAAAACATCAACGCTGAAAAGTGTATCTAGATTTCGAAAGTTTACAGATTTAAAACATTTTTTTGAAGTGACTTGATTTCTTTAGGAAGGATTCTGATTTATTGGAAAGAAGATTCAGCACCTTATGAAGGGGTCCAGCCATGAAGTAACACGAGGAAGAAATTCAACTCACCAGGCCCGAAGAAGTGTCTTGTTTGTGAATCTTAGGATGGCCGTATAAATATAGAACTTTGCTGCATTATGGAGTCAACTTAGGTTTTTGATCAGTAGGTAGAACAATTCTTGCGCTTCGCAAGGATTTTTCTGTCCTTCTCTGTCAACTTTGGCTGTAGGATTTTTAGCAAGGGTTCATAAACCCCAGATTCTAGTATAGCGTTTTTCTTTTGCTTGTACTCAAATTCGTCCAATACCACAATGAAATTGCTTTTGTCTGCCTACACAATTCTAATATTTCATTGAATTTGAAGTGTTCTGTACCTTTAAAATCCTGTGATGAACAAATTCTCCACAAAATACGAACGTCTTAGAACAACTGATTAAACAACATATGCCGTGTCTAGGTTAGAGTGTAACAACGGGGTTATTCAACCCGTTTCTAGGCAACAGCCCAGTAAACACGTTCCCGTGGGATGGAACACGCGCGCAAGAAAAGAAGTGTGTGTTTCTGTGGAGTCCGCCCCGAGGCTATATAGCGAGGACCCCAGACCGGCTGAGTGCAGTTCAGTTGAGTGAAGTGAAGTAGTTGGTGGGCGAGTGAGAGTTCGGTTGCGGGATATTCGCCAGACAGTAAATACGTGAACACGGGAAGCTGAAGAATCTCCCCTGTTATAAGGCGTTGATAGGCAACGGCTGCTGAAGGAACGACAAGATGGAAAAATGCTTAGTGGGTGCTGTGGTGATCTGTGAGTTGTGGAGATTGGCAGTGGCGCTGTAGTTCCGAGTGGTGTGTATATAAGTAGTCAATAAATCCATTCAGCAATCTGTACCGCGTCTATACTCACACACCTAAATCGTGACAGCATATAAGAACGTGTTTCAAAAGATTGAGCATCCATTTTCTCGAACCAGAAACTGCGGTAGACAACGCCATGCTCTGCCGATTTTTTAGCAGGAGAATTTCCGGATATGAATCTCTTTTGCTGACGAAAACATTTCTGAATGAACCTGCCTTAGCAGTGAATATACGCTGTTGGGGTGCCTTGTTATACCACTGGAAGAGTCTGCTCCCACTAAGGACTGCCACACTGGCAAGTTAAAGCATCTTCGAAGAACGATAGATTGTGGGAAGAGCCCTAGGGATAAATCCTGAGATTTCAATCACATGAGGAAATTGACATGGTTTAGGGCTCCTTCTAACTGAATTTGTTGGGCCTCTAGTTTCCATGTCCTTTGCACAAGTCTGGTTCTGACGATGGCGCATAACACTCGCGATTACTGTACTGAACTTTCAGACATAGTCCTCCTGTCTGTCGTGATTATAGTTCCGCCACTGAACAGCGAAGCACATGTATGACAATGCGCTATCACGGTGTGTTCTGAAACAGTCGATGATCACATGCCGTAGTCAGCGGAGAGATGGGCACGAATACAGTACAAGCACAAACAGAATGATGCCCACTCAGCGAAGCAGAGCCGCCTCATAACGTGTAAACTGGAGAGACGTGTTTATAGAAGCACTGCGTTTTGGGGCATTATTGATCGTTCTGCTCTTTTGGGTTCTTTAAACAACGTTCTGGAGACTGGAGTCTGTCTCCGTCTTCAGGTAAAAACCTACTCAGTTAGGCCCAGTCGATAGAGCTAGTCCCTATCCCGGGAAGGATGTGGAAGGAAGCAGGCGTAACCTTTCAAGGCCCTCTCCTGCTATTTGCCTGGACAGGCTGAGGAAAAGAAAAACTCAAGTTAGTCGGTGTTCCGAACAGAGACTCGAACCGGGCACCATCCGAATGCAAACCAGGAGCTTTACTGTCTTATCAGTTCGCTCACTTCTTTTGTCTTAAATTTGTCACTGTGGGCTGTCATACAGCAAGTGACTAACTTGTGTAAACAAACACATATATTAAATTAATCGAAATCCTCCAGCGCTTTCAGCCCAAGACTCTCCGATCCATTCTGAACGCAGCTTGGTACATAAACAACCACAGGATCCACGAAGACCTACAAATGAACACAGTGCTCAGTGAAATGAAAAAGTATGGAATACCAAATAGTTAACAAAATTAGAAAACCACAGTAATGCACTAGCAGCGAACCTACTAGACAACAGCGAAACTACACGTAGACTGAAAAGATACACCGACCTAACTGCACCAGACAGACCTGAGTAAAACCCCAGCACAAGAATTAAAGTGATACATAAACGAACAGAAAAGAATGAGTATACGAGTTACGCCACTGGGCATAACTCATTCATGAGCCAGTATTTATTGAAGATATGCATCTATTGCAGATTCTGCAGATTATATGTAATAAACATGTGAAAGAAATATTAAATTACTTAAGTTTTATGGGGCTGTCTTCGCTCGCTCTGAAGCCGGGGTTCGAATCCCACTCAGGGAATGGATGTTTAGGGTTTTATGTGCGTTTTTCTGTGTTTGTGTACAGGTAGAGGCCTTGCGACGAGCTGATCCCCCGCCCAAGGAGTTCTACTGATCTAAGATCTAATAAATCGAAGTGAAATGGGGTCTTTGAGGCTATAGAGCCAAAAGGGTAGTTTTAAGGGGATTTTTTCATTCACAGCAAACACTTTAAAAGCTCAGATTCATGGAGAGCTACTGTGGGTAGGAACGGCCTTCAAATAGACACAAACCTGCAAATATCACGAACTTAATAGCACGATAAACAGAATATTCAAGGCAAAAAGTGGATTTGTGTCCTGATATTTTGGCAAATGACTTTTTCTGTCAACAAGCGTTTTCATTCACTGCTACCGACAGCTAGAATCTTACTGAACACAGTTACCCCACTGCGCTGAACATACGTGCAAGATGCGGCCATGGTTTCAGATTAATTTTTTTGGGGCCTTTTGTAAAACTGTGTTGGAATTTTTAAGCCTGGTTACAATCGGGAAAAAAATAGCGGTCACTTTACATAGAGACATATATGCGTTCTTGAATGCTCCCTAACATCTATCGAGACGAAAAATATTTCGAATAAACGTTGTAGAGATAAATGAACCACATATTTTGTGCCCAGTACAATTTAGCCGTAAGTCAAGATTTTTAAACAAGAGGGAAAGAATGCACCAGATTTTTACGTCATGCGTACATTTTCGAAATTTTTGTGTGTGTGGGGGGGGGGGTTGCTACAGCTACATACCTATCTTCACTGATAATGGTTTTCTAGATCCGTTTTGAAAAAATGGCAGTAATTCATTGATGACAGATTTTACCACCACATGCCAGAGCAGAATTATGCGAAGAGCCATGCCAGCCCCGAGAGGGTTTTGAACTTGGAATCGCAGTGTTCGAGCTGCCAAGACCACGTGCAGCCTTCACAATCCGGCTGACTCAATTTTGGGATGACAAGAACTATTAACTGAGCAGATTAAGACACAAGTTAAGAAAATCACTGATTCTGATGACGATTACTAGGATGTGACGTTGCGTGCCTCGTAGATCGTTACCAGTGTTTCGGAGGAAGTTTTTACTTCTGTCTTCAAGAGAGAAGAGTAAGCCGAGAGTAGAAAAAAAAGTTGTAGGTATACAAAGAGAGAAAAGAGCGGAGCACAGAGCGAACCAATAGGAATAATGTCCTTCTTTTGTCTTATTTTGGACTTCACCCATCGTCTGGACAGTGATTGAGACTAGCTCTTTCTAACGGGCCCAACTGAGTAGGTTTATCCTTCCCTATCCACCTGAAGACGGAGACAGATCCAGTCTCCGAAACGTCGTGGTCTTTTGTCTTTTACATACCAGACGATGGGTGAAGTCCAAAATAAGCCAAAAGAAATACAGTATACACCATCGTCAGAATCCTTTCAAGTCTATCCAAGAGGAATAAGGAGAACAGTGTAAGGGATATTGGGCCGTTAAGAAGGATCGTGTTCAAAACTGTTACCTCATATCGTATTCTGTTGCTTCTGGTTGCTACTGCTTCCTACTACTTTTTATACCCTGGAGAAGGGCTCAGTAGGTTTATCCAAGACATTGGTAACGAACTACAAAACTACAAGGCGTCACAATACAGAAGACAGGAATCTTTAGTCATTATCCCGCTGGCTTTGGTGTCCCGATCAATAGTAGAGAGTTAAGACGCCAGTAACTCCACAGCCCGAGGGCAAGGGACTGAGACCAATGGAACTGAAAGCAAACGACTTTGTGGTACAAGGACAGTAAGTGCACAGGAGGCCGTCAACCTGCCATTGCAAGGTTACGTTGACGTTAATGGCTCAGCATGTTAGTACTTCCACTTGCATAAAGTGCTCTCTGTAATCCAGCGCTATGTACAATTATATGTACAAGTAACTTCCCATACCACCCTGATATTAAAAAGCATTTGTATTCGGCTTTATAACATGTATACGTAATTTCTGATAAGCCACATTTGCCAAGAAGTAATATTAAAAAACGAAATACTAAATAAAATGTGTATGTTTACTTCAGAACCTCATTGTGGAAACTTGCATCATTTTAGTTCTTCTCGCAGTGCGTAAGTCAGGGTCTCGATTTCCCCTGCCTTGAACGCGTTATCAGTGGCGTAACTTGGGGGTTTACCAGCACAAATCTATTAGAAGTTACCTCACTGATTCCTTCTCATACTCTTACTGAAACATGAAAGAATGAAGGATAAAAAAAATATAGTGATTTTTCAAGTCAGGACAAATTTGACTACATAGCTCACCTGTAGAGTAAAAGAAATAGGAAAGGTGTAAGCACTTGAATTTTCATACTCTCCAGCTGTTCTTACGTCATTCGTTGACAGCTGAGACATACAACAATCAAGATGGCGCCGTGAGGAGACAAACAAAGGAGCTGCGTATTAAAAGAAATATATCTGGTTTTCTGGTTGTCATTGTGACAGTGCTGTAAAGATCAAGTAATCACTTGTGTGAGTGTACACTGAAGAAATGCTAGAACTTGAAGTAGTACCAGAAAGATCTCTTGGATGCGAACAGTGGGAGTTTATTTTAGGTAAGCCTTTTTACATTTTTACACTTATTACATACGTATTAATGTGCATATTTTGAAGACGTAATTAATATGTGACAGTCACTAAGTACATTACAAGACGAAGGATGAGACAGTTACCTTCACATTAAGAGTCCATTTGACACTGGTAGTGGTTGTATTCCCAACTCAATTGTTGCACCATTATATGCATCATGCTAAAAAAAAATTCCAGAATTATAAATAGTTAATATTTTCGCTTGGTACATGGGACTGTGTCCATTTTCTTTCTAGGAATGCACTTCTCGCAGGCAGTTGCAATAATTCAGTCACAGGTTGGGATAATAAAAGGTGTTCAAGTCTTATATAGTGATACGGTGAGAATTTGTTACAATTTATTTTAAGTTAGCTGCATTTTTATAAAAGTGTAGAAGTTTATGATTCCTCAAAATATAATGTAGTTATCATAATCGGATACTAAATTCATGATTCATATCAGTATAATGACTTCTTTCAATTCGTTACTGGTCTCTATGCGTGGTGCAGCAGGTTGTATTATAGAAGGCAGTTCTAATTTGTGATATTATTTTATTTCAGAATCCTTTAGCTGTTGATCTTGTAATAAGCTTGCCACAGGATGGTATTCGGTTGATATTTGATCCCATAGTTCAGAGACTGAAGGTTAGATTCACTGAACTCTTCTAAAAGTTTGATATGCACCTGAATTCTGTAGTTATTCACAGAAGTAGTTGACATTTTTATTCTGATCCAGAACTGTTTACCTTTCTTTTCAGATTATAGAAATATATAACATGAAGCTCGTAAAGTTAAAGTATTGGTAAGTTACTGGCTGAAAGTGAAAGTAATGAACTAATTTAATCAGAATGATGCATTTAAAATGCTCTGATGCTGTGCTTTAAATGTTTTAGTGGACTGACTTTCAATTCACCAGAAGTTTTACCAAGTATTGAGCAGATTGAACATTCATTTGGGGCCACGCATCCAGGTGTATATGACACTGAGAAACAACTGTTCATGTTGAACTTTCGAGGTCTCTCCTTTTGCTTCCCTGTTGAATCAAAGTTTCAGGTAAATATAGTATTAACTTTCAGCAGCATGAGTTCCTGATTAACACCATCCTGGTGTAATGAACTCTAATGTTTCATGTAGGCAGTAGAGTAACATAATTCATACATTCAGAATAATGAATAATAGCTCAGTCACTGTAGTTGTGGGCTATGGGCTGGACAGCCAGGGTTTTATTCCTGGGAGGAGCAAGAGATTTTTATCTACACAGATGCAGACTGCCTCTGGGGCCCACCCAGCCTCCTCTTCACAGGGTACTGAGGGGCTCTTTCCCAGGAGGTGAAGCGGCTGGAGTGTGAAGCTGATGTCAAGAGTACATCTTCATGGTGTAATGCTTAATTGCTTAATTAATTAAGCACAGAGACATCTTTACCTCTAATGGCCATCACTTTGAACCACAAACATTTTGAAATTTATCAGAACCAGCTGCAAACTCATCAGAGCTGGGCAATTTTTGGTTAAGAAAGAAGTTTTTACAGTCCCCGTTACTAGTGGTGCTGAGATTTCCACTGCCTTTATCCACTGAACCACTCCAGTAAAAAACCAGTGGACAGAAATTTACTTCTGCTGTATTCTGGAACCAAATTATTGATGTATTGCCAAGTACACTCGATATTGATATTGGCCCCCATCTCCAAATTGACCTACGTGATGAATTTGTGTTGAATTAAGTTCTTAGTTTATGTTTTAGTTCCTATAGGAATAATATGGGCACATGGTAGCATAGATGGTTGAGGCACAATGCTACATGATAGAAGGTTTCACGTTTGATTACTGAATAGATCATTGGATTTTTCATTTGACATAATCTTGCCAGCCTCATGATTGCCCTGGGGTCGACTCAGCCTCTAACAGAATGAGTACCAGGAATTTTCTTGGGGGTAAATTGATATTTGTTGTGTTGTGACGGTTAATAAAGAAGTTGAATACCACCAGACTTCATTTCAGAATCCTAGATTAAGTTGCATTAGTGTCACTCCTACCTTATAAGTTCATGCATTCACCTTGATGTTATTAATAATTATAGAAAATTGAAAATTATGTGGAGGGGGGGTCACATTCAGTGCCAGTATAGCCATAGCAGATTTTGTGAATATTGTTCACTTCATTCAAACATTGGCATGAACACACAGGATACTGCTTTCTTTCCTGAAGGAAAGCAAAAGAGGTTATCCATGTATGTAATAGCTAATGTCCATCTGTTTGTCCATTCTGTCCCATTTTGTACAAGTGGCACATTATATAAGAAAATTGTAAATACATAAATGTTCCTACTGGAAAGAGAACCGTGGGAAAATTGTTTATTTTCCATTTATGTTCATAGTTTTGAATCCAAGTTAGATTTTTCCCTCATTCTTTCCTCCACAAGAAACCCATTAGGACCATGATTACAATGAGTTTATTTTCATAGAAACATAGGTAAACAGCACATCTTCTGAAGGTGACAGAAATTAAATGTATACAACTCTAAGAACCTAGAGATTTTAAATGTAAGTAACTGCTTGGAGCAACAGAAATTGTTCTTCAGATTGCAGTGCAGATTTTTCTGTATAGCCACAGAAAACTTCTGTTTTCCCGCTTGGCCCGCTATGTTTTTCAAATGGTGCATCCCAGGAAAAAAAGATAAACACAGAAACAGGTCCTCTCAGAGAGACGATCCTGAAGATATAAATAAAATTTGGTATATTAAAAATACTGGCATAGGTGTGGCCAAAAAAGCTACCTCGTATTTCCCAAACCATTCTTCATTATAGAAAAACATGTTAAATAAAATAAACGTCCCTTGAGGTGAGCTATCATTTGAAAAATAATTTCTCTGTTTCATAACGAGGCACAGGATGCTCAAGAAACTTATATGACAGACACTTTCAAATATGAGGGGAAGTCAATAATTATCCGCAATGCAGTTGTATTTGTGTTTCTGTTGGCAGCACTGTCGTTTTGCGCAGCATCGCCATGTGTGGTTTCCTTGTCATTATTTCTGTGCAGGTTTGATGTTGCTAGGTCAGTTCCATCGTTGCTGCCTTGCCGTTAATCATGGCTGCTCCACTTTCTGTTTGCACCAAAGAAGAGCAACGTTCAGTGATCCGGTTTTTGTGGTTGGAAGTGTATCAGGGGCCGCAATCCATCAAAGACATTCAGCACAATATGGGAACAGTGTCTTGCCACAACGGAGTGTCTACGAATGGATTGAAAAATTAAAAAATGGTCGCGCAAGTGTTACGCATGAGGAGGGAGCCGGATGACCATCCACGGCCACAAATGAGGACAGCATTGAGCGTGCACGTGACATGGTTCTGTTAGACAGATGAGTGACTATTGATGAAGTGGCAAGTCGTCTGCAAATCAGTCATGGTTCTGCCTACGAAATCATCCAAAACAGACTTGGGTTTCATAAAGTCTGTACAAGATGGGTCCCAAAACAACTCACAGTGTTGCGTAAACAAACGCGCTTGGACATCTGCCAACAACATTTGGATCACTATGGTAACGAACATGACGTCTTCTTAGAGAGAATCATCACTGGTGACAAAACATGGGTACATCATTGCGAGCTGGAGAGTAAACGGCAGATGGAATGGAAACATCCACAATCGCCCAGCAAGAAAAAGTTCAAAAACCAACCATCCACAGGAACACTGATGCTTACAGTTTTCTGGGACTCACAAGGTCCAGTTACTGGAACATTATCAGGAGAGGGGCACAACAATAAACAGTGCTCGTTACAGTTAGATGCTTACTGACAGGCTAAAGCCTGCAATTTGAAGCAAACGCTGAGGACTACTGTTGAAAGGTGTTGTGTTGTTGCACGACAATGCCCGTCCACATACTGATGCCAACACTGCTGAAACCTTCCGGAAACTCAAGTTTGATGTAATTGCTCATCCTCCGTATAGTCCTGATCTTGCCCCTTCCAACTACCACTTGTTTGGTCCACTCAAAGAGGCAGGGGCCGTTGATTCACCTCGGACCAAGAAGTGAAGGAAGCGGTGCATGCTTGGCTCACTGCTCAGCCGAAAACCTTCTTTTCTGAGGGCATCAGGAAGCTTGTGCAACGATGGACCAAGTGTGTTTAAAAGCAAGGGGACTATGTTGAAAAATGATGTTAATGTAAGTTTTCTATTTGTATTGAAATAAAATTTATAGCTACATTGCGGATAATTACTGACTTACCTACGTATTTCTCATGTTATGAATAATTTTACATTGTACCATTTAGAAAAGTGGAATTCTATGTATAACACATTATATATGTGCAGTTCTTCAAGAACTTTCTGTGAAGTATCTTGTGAGAAAACTGAAGTTTCCAGTTGTTGTGGGATGATGTTTTTTCATATTTATGTATAATAAGGTAACTGTGTTGTGTTTGACTAGTTGTACATAGTGTATTACAAGTTTATGCATGTGGAATTCTGAAGGCAGGCCATTCCAGTCTGAGAATACATTCTTCTTTTTAACCAGTTAAATGTATATATTCCATGTTCTTATATCTCCTGAACTGGGACATTAAAATTCCCCAGACACATAAATTTGTTACTGCAATATTTAATTTTATAATTGTTGCTAACTTTTTAAAATTCAATATCTCAACCATGTGTCATTATAAAATATGACATAAACAGTCTCAGAAAGACCAATTATCAGAGTTCATTCATCCTTATTTTCATTTATATAGCCGTTACATTAAAGTTTATACATATTTTTAGTAACATTCCATAATTTTGGCTTTATTCTAAAAAAATACACCATTGTCACCCTGACATGTGTTTCAGTTCCCAATGTGTGATCACAAAGGTATGTATGACCCATGCACATTCACTATATGGAGTCCTTTCCTGATCCTCTGGTGTTTGGAAATGAAACACAGATGCTGACTGACAAAACTTCCTCCAGCCTAAACACACACTGGCATGTTTGATTATTGTGACATTTCACTATGAGCTACAACTCTGTCTGCTTCATTGACAACAGACTTTCTTATTGTCATGTGGGCTGAATTTGTACTTCCTTTGCAAGTTCCAGCCTACTGTGGATGAGTGTACTGTGCAACAAAAGCCATTTGCTCTTTCAAACATACACTGCAGAATTATCTTGTACAGATTATGAAATCATCACTAAAATGATTATACCATTGGAAACATTTTTGCAACTCCAGTGGCATATGCTTTGAGGTCATTATAATTATGGTGTAGTTTTCAATAACAGTCCATAGTACACTTTCTAAACACTAAAATCTTACATTCAGACACTTCGTAGCCACTTGCTGAATGTCAACCCTTTTTCATGCCTGTAGAAGTCAGCTTCCATATGGTAATGTTGGAAACAGGGTGCAGCACACATGGCCACCCTACAGTTTTCGCAGTTGTACCTTGTTTCACGACATTGACCCTTTTTGTAGCTCATAACACAGTGCTGAATTGGACTTCACGTTGACACTGGCAGTAATGTAGGAGGGAAAATGAGGTGCATTCATCCTTGTCATTGGGGCAGTTTTTGGTGGTGAGCCTAATGTTGTCTCTCTTCTCTTCTATGATATTTTTAAATTAAATTTTAAATAAGTTTCATTTGAAATTCCATCATGAAAATGCTGCTGCCCATTTTTATAAAGTAAATATGAATTCATACAACTGATATTAGTCAAATGACAGAAGTGCTTTTGATAGTATTTTTTAGTCTTTTCCTTTTGCTGCTATATTTTGTCAAGTAAACATAACTGCGGCCCACACCTCCCATCCTAGTGACTACTTTGGGCTTCTCTGTCTGTGTCTTTCCCTCAAACTGTAGTTGGAACCATTTTATGAAGAGTGATACTTATAAGATAAATATCTTTTTTTGTTTTTCCACTTAATTATCATTAGTCTGTCTCTGTAGACAGAAACATATTCTTCCTTTTTCAGTTTTGTGCTCTTTATTTCAGCATGAGCACCCTGTATTGACACAGGGTTCCCATAGCATCAGTCTGTTTGCTGCACAAGTTATGGAACAAATTTGGGGTTGAAAATCAGTTGTCCACATTTACACTTTACCTCTGATTCAGTAGAGGAGCCATTGGTTGTGGAATTTCTTTTGAGCCATATGGTTCATTTTTTAGGGATTGTCCAAAACAGTATCCTGCCCAGTGTAAATAATAAAATTCCATAGATACACAGATTTGGCATCACACAATTCAAATGATTTTATACCAAATGTAGCACGTTTCGAAAGAGTGTATACCTTCAATGACAAATGTCCCTTTCACATCATCAAAGACTTTTACTGAAGCATCACACTGTGACGTATATACTCACCTAAATTTGCATTTATGTGCTCCAATATGGGTTTAAGTTTATACAGTCTTTCTGAACTGCAAGTGGCCTAATTGTAATTTTCGTTGTTAGCCAAATGAAGAAAATCTTGAGTAGAATGTGAAACCTTCTTACACTGAACAGGTCCAAAAAAATGCGTGTTTCCAGAATTTTCCTCCAAGAAAAATAGCCCTTCTTACATTCCACCTCATATAGCTTTTTGAGGTTGAATATCTCTGTAGAAAGGTTTAGCATTGCTTCTATACTTATTACCAAACATCGCAGCTGAGTGCAACAGGTGCATTATGTTCACGAGGCATCTGGTTCAGATCTCATTTAGAAGACCAATTATCTTAACGTTTTTTTGTGGTTTTCTTCGGTGTGCTTATGAAAATGCTGCAGCAGTACCTCAAATTAGGTCAACTGCTTCCTTTCAAATCCTTTCAAATTCAGTATTCACAAAGTCATCTTACTCTTTGATGTTTTATAGCTTGAGTTACTAACAGCATCATTAAAAAGACCACAAATTAATAAACCATGAATATTTCATTTCATTTATTCACCTTCCATAAATCCTGTCGAGATTACTTTCTCATGCGGATGTGGAGATCGTCCTAGTTACAGTCACAATTAAGAATTACAGTTGTCATCCAGTAGCATACACATTTGTGATGCAATACTGATAAATGTATACAATATAATAAAATAAGTTAATTTTAGTAGTAAGAGTAATGGCAAACCTTATACAATTTGTACAATTTTATACAAGTCTATTAATTAAAAATTCAATAGTTAGAACACAATGTCATTAATGAGTTCTATATAACATACATTAATAGTATAATAAATTGAAATAAAGACTAGTATACAGTGATATAAAGATTGTGCATATCTAAAATAAGTAACTAAAAGCTAAACACAGACTGACAATCTTGTTTTCTTTTAATTATAAAACAAGACAGCTACTCGTGTCTTATAAAAGCTTTATAACAGAAATATTCCTGTAATGAATAAAAAGAATGTAAATGTAAAAATTGTTTTAATTGTTCCCATACTGACAAGACTGTTCCTGTTCTGTTGCAATAACAGGAAGTGGTACCAGAGTCACTTCCTCCAAAACCCCTAGATGTCAGTCACTGAATGCCATAATTTGTTTATCAAGGGATGATCAGTTTGATTGTGTTTCACCCCACTAGAAAAATTCCATGTGTGTTTACAAATACAGCAATGTGGAATTATTGTACTCTTGATAATTAAGTTTTCTGGTATGGTGAAGTTTATAATCTAACCCCATTATGATGCCTAGATTCATGTAAACTTTTGTTCCCTGTTGTCAGTTTGAAAACATTTTCTTTCCATACTTTTGCATTGGAATTTCCCAACATAATACTTATGTGGTACTTGGGGAATTATGTCCATCTAGTGCTGAGGTCACAAATGGTGGAGCTATACCTCCACTGCCCCAGACGTCTTTGTGACATGCTGCTTAATTTTTTAAGCACAGGAACAACTTTACCTTTACTTTTTTTGCATAGGGAATTGATTGAATAATTGGTCTAGTTCAAAATGGAAGCTATCCTTTTTGTCATTAGTTTTATCCTCAGTTGGGCATGCACATTCAGAACAATAATGTCACACCAGCGTCCTCTTAGTACTGTATACATGTTGTAACTAACATATTCCATCATCTTAACTGGTGATGTGATTTCCTGTTGTATGAAAGAAATTGATGATTGTCATTCCTGCTTGCATATAAAAGTGTATAATCATCTGGTCCATTGCCACCCTTGTTCCATCTGACCTTTGCTTACATTAAATCTAATTCTAAATCTGTTCTTTCCTAATTCCTAATTGCTGATTTCACTGAACCTGATCTATAGAAACTCCCGACAGTCAAGTTCCTGATCTCATATTCATTTTGTGTTGCATAGGTTGTTTCAAGGAGTTCATTGAACTCTGAGGCTCTGTGTAACATCTTGTAATCTGAAACAGAATGGAATTTATTGACCAGCTCATTTACAATGAAATGCTTAATATAGACTCCATATTGTGGATTTCTGTAAGATTGGCAGTAGCAGAATGTACATTCAGCATTGGAGCTTTGTATTGTGATTTCTTTTTCAGCCAGGATATGCCCATGGTTTAGGTTCCCTGCAGTTCCCAAATGGGTCATCACCCGTGGTGTCACGCACATCTGTGTATACTGGCAACAATCTTGCAGAGAGTCGATCACCAGCACTGCCATTGTGTTGTTATCATAATCACTTGTACATGGAACGGGCTGAGGTATTGAGAGAACGCCTCCGCACAACAGGAATACGCTTGTATTTGTTTACAGAGGGTATGTTCTATACAGTAATACGGTAGCAAGTCTCAGGCAGTTGTATCCTAGATTTAAGCACGCAAACAATAAAGTTGTCCTTGGACTTAATTAATTAAACACCACACCATGAAGTCTGAAGGGGAATGGAGGTATAGCTCCACCATTCTTGACCTCGGCATTAGAGATGGAGGTGAGTGGTCAGCTTCATGACCTGCTGCTTTACCCTCGGAGAAAGAGCCCCTACTACTCAATGAATACGAGGCTGGATGGGTGCCAGACCCATTATTGACACTCCGGCATAGAGAAAACTCTCTCACCCTGCCAAGAATCTAACCAGGCCATGCCTGTCCCTATACAGACTGAGTGATCCCAGCTCCCCAGATTGGAACATGATAATTCATAATTTCACTTTGTTTATGTACATTTTAATATTCCATAAAGGTGGTATCAGAAATTTTGGTGAACATATGGCAGCTAATTCAAAATTATGCATGAATAGCATTACATAAGAGCAGCATTTCTTATTGATAGCAAAATTATGTTTTTTTTTTGAGAGTACAGCTTGGTTTCACTAGATTAGACCATCCACAAAATTCTGACAAGAGAGGAAGAATGAAAGTTGAAAGTTTGGAAAAATGATTTTGAAAGAATGGAAAAGTCCTGGTATTCCACTAGTGACTGAGGGGTCATCAAGACTTACAGTACTTAGAAAATAATGATGACTAGTGCCATCTTGGAATTGTAGGAACATTCTTTAATGTCATAACACTACAAGGTTCATAATAGTGGTGATCAAGCAGTAATGAATATTTTTCGTACAGTGTACATGAGTCCTGAGCATTAGGCACAGTAACCTATGTTTTTAATTGTTCTCAGGTTCATCCCGTCTCCTGGAACCACGGAAGCAAAATCTTTGTCGGGAGGTTCTGTTTGGAGACACGTGCCAGGATGTGGCTACAGCTCTTGGGGCACCTTCACGTGTGTTCTACAAGGCTGAGGATAAGATGAAGATTCATAGTCCAAATGCCCATCACCGTGTTGCTGCGCGAAGATCAGACTTCTTCTACAACTACTTCACTCTCGGCATGGTGTGTCAATGCCCTACACTGAAATATACAGAAGCCTTTTCACCCTTGTGTCATACCCACTGCTCATGAGCACTGAATGTACTGAAATTGGCACATAAAATTAAGATTTCCTTTCAGTAATCTCAAAGCATATGCCACAGTATAAAAAAAGTCAACTCAAGTGGTAATGCTTCTAACTTAGGTGCCTGGTTTGCATTTTAATGAGAATAGAAACACTCCTGACTTGAGATTTTCTTGTGGTTTTCATCAGTCTGTTTAGGCATATTATAGGATAATACCTTAACCACTTTTTTCAGTATCCTCAGTATCCTTTCCAATTCATTATTCAGTCACATAATCGTTTGACATTATAGGCAGTAACCTGACTTACTGTCATTGTCATTAAATAAACTACTAATACATGAATGCAGTCCAAAATATGTTGTTAGATTTCAGGTTTTTACAGCCTTGACTGTGAAAAGCACACTCTTCATAATTAAGAGTATAATTGAATTTATTCCCTGAGGCTAATTAAATGCATAACTTAATGTGATTCTTTTCTCTTGCAGGATATTCTCTTTGATGCTAAGACACAGAAAGTGAAGAAGTTTGTTCTGCACACAAACTATCCTGGACATTACAACTTCAACATGTAAGTACCAGACTGTGCGACTGAGTTAGCTCCTTGTTGCAAAGCTGTGAAAGTGCAGGTGATGCTGAGCAAGTTGACTCAAGTGGTAATACTTCTGCCTTATACTCTGGAGGTGCCCAGTTCAAATATCAGCCAGGACATCAACTCTCAGTGCAGTTATTCTTGGCTTTCCTCAGTTTCTCCAGCAAAAAATACCAGGATTGCACCTAAAATAGTGTCATGGCTGCTTCCTTCCAGGCTCCTTCCAATTCATTATTCAGTAACACTGGTGCTGAATATTCTGAGGTACTGACAGTGATGCTAAGCAAACTAGAAATAGGTAAATAAGAGTGATGGAATTACAGTGTATTATTATTATTGCTTTGGACTGGGAACTGGTAGTAAGAAGTAGAGACCCAAGGCACTGATCTTGGGCTCAAGATGAACTGTATGCCCATGCCTTCACCATTCTGAACCTCGAAGTAAAGCTTTGTTAATGTTGGGGGCACTACATGTTTTTTTGGAATCCATATTAGAATGTTTTAAGCAATTGTGATCCTACCACATGAGTGTTCTTACTTCCTTACTAAATTCTTTTGCTCTCTGCAGGTAGGCAGGTGCTTAGAAAATCAAATTAAATTCAGAGCAACTTTTTTCTACACTGGCTATGATTTGTTATGTGTATCTTGCTGCAAAACTGATATATGTGAGATCTGAAGTTGTTGTAGTGTTACTGTCATGGACTGTCATCAATACTGTCTTCAGGAATGTGGCACCTTGTAGTTTGGGAAACTGTAAGCAACATTTTTGGAGAATGGGCAGCATGTTCCCCTAAAATCTCAGTAACAATTTACCTGTCTGCAAGGTGTCACATTCTAGAAGACAGCAATGTTCAAATTTGATATACAGCCAGTGTAAAGTGAAAGTGTTGCTTAAACCACGAATGTCAACTATCGAAGTTAAACACTAGACAGATGTGGGACAGGGAACAGACAGACAGTACTCACATTCATCATTATTATTGTATTTCAGTTTGAGCCACTATTATACGTGGTGCTATCCAAAAGTTCCCGAAATTAGAATTTTTGCAGCATTAAGTCCATGTTGATCTGTTTTTTTTTTATATTGATGGGATTGTTCATAAAGAGTTCGTCCCTCCTGGCCAGACAGTCAATAAAGAGTTCTATCGCGATGTTCTAAGGTGTTTGAGGGAGGACATGAGGAGAAAACGTCCAGAGAAGTGGCGCACGAACGACTGGGTACTACACCATGACAACGCACGACCGCATATGGCTTACATTGTGCAGGATTTTTTTGGCTAAAAACAAGTTTGCAGTTGTTCCCCACCCACCGTACTCGCCAGACTTAGCTCCATGCAAATTCTTTCTCATCCCCAAGATGAAAATAAAGTTGAAGGGGCGAAGATTTGATACATTTGAGGAAATTCAAGTGGAAAAGCAGATGGTACTAAACACTCTAACAAAGAAAGACTTACAATATATTTTGGAAACTTTTGGATAGCACCACATAGTTTTGTCACTAAGTACAGACAGCATGTTGGGTGATAACTCCATTTTCATTTTGAGTTTAACAACAGTTTTTCTCAATAGCAGACTGTATACAACATGGAAGAAGAAAAAGGGCTTTTGAAAGAATGAGCTCATATAGGAACCTCCAAAATGTTAATGAAATGTTGACCCGCAACTGGAAGTTGTGCAGGACAAATAGAAAGAATGTAACAGGTGTAAGAAATCAGTGACTTTATCATAGGAATTATAATGATGATCCTTTGTTGGAATCACAATATTTTTTTAGTAGCCCACATTTTTGTAAGAGTTAAATTATTGTTTTTTCCTCAACCCACAGGTATCACCGTTGTGAATTTCACCTCACTGTTCCCCCAGATACCAGGCAGCAGTCTTCAGATGCTGGACAGCTCATTGATGTATCACCACCAGGACCTATTATGGTGAGATGTTTGTAAAGAAATGGTGGGGTAAAAATTTCTATAAGTGGACATACTGTTTGTATATCTCTATGTATAATTTGATTTTATGCAGCCACTTTCAAATTGTTGTTAACTGTGATTAGCAGAAATATCCAGTCCTGGCTTGGGACATGGTATGTGCCTTTTCAGCATCACAGTGTATAGTAGCTGAAGTCTGAAGAAGGAATAATATTCAGATTAAGAAAGGAGAGGATGCTCATGTGATTAAATAAAAGATTGGGCTTGAGGATTTAAATTGCATCACAAAACACCCTGCAGTACAGTGAACCCCCATTTAATGTTTTCCCTAATTTAATATTCAATTTCAGTGATCCCAATTGAAAAAATTCATTATTAAATTGTCTCTGTTTAAGATTCTCCTCAGTTCAGTGTCCCAATCTACTGGTCCTCAAAGAAACAAATGTTTATTTCAGTGTACTTGTGCATCATTGTAATAGCCATACATATCAGCAGGAATTTGGGGTGATTTTTGTAATTTCTTTGGCTGTACTCTATTAGGACTGCAGTAGAAAACAGGAAACAGAAGTAACAGAACAATCAGGCTTTTATATACAACTCGGGGAAATCTTAAATGGGAGAAACTTATTGCTGAGATTATTGGCTAGGAATTGAATGTTAAATGATTGAAAAATCTTATATTTAGCAACATTAAGGGGGGGGGGGGGGGGGAGGGGGTTCCATTGTACACTGGATTTACTGTTTTTGTTGAATTTCGCATTTCATACTGATATAGTAATACCATCTTGTAAATGCAGCACTTTCATAGCTTGTTGAATAGAACACCATTTAGTCCATGTTTGGGGCACACAGTAGCATAGTTGGTTGAGGCACTATGCTGCAAGCCAGAAGGTCACGGGTTTGAGTCCTGAAGAGGTGAATTTTTTCAGTTTACCTAATCCTTCCAGCTGCACTATGGCCCTGGGGTCAACTCAGTCTCTAACAGAATGAGTACCAGGAATCTTCCTTGGGCTTAAGAGTGGCTGGTGCTTAAGGCTGACAACCTTACTGCCATCTGTGAGTCAATTATCTAGAGAAAATGTGGGAGCTTCGACATCTCACAACCCTATGGGCCTTCACAGCATGTAACAGGGATAGCTTCACATTTTTTACTCCATGTTTTCATATTGTCAGATGATTGAGTAACTCTAAATGGAGTTCAGTTTGCTAATTGGATTTATTGGACTCTTACAGGTTGTAACTGTAGCACCATCGTTAATTCATGCACTCTGTTATTCACTATGGCATGTGCTAAGTCTTCTCAGTCTGCTGTATCTTCACTGGTTATTGTCTGGTGATGGATTCCAGTGCTTCTTTGTTAATGACCTTACTGGCCAGTGACTTGCTCACAATTAACTCGGCGTTGCTGTGCAGCAGCTTACAAAGATTGGTGCTCCTCTGCCTCCCATGTCTCCACAGGGTTGACTGTCTTGCCACAGTCCCAGACTCAGACTGATCTGACTGGCTGCAGACTGTGTCTAGAATCTAGACTGAGACTCATTTTTGGTTCTTCAGATATAGCTGTTGCATGGCTCCATCAGAAAACACTGTTCCTCTGTTGATGTGGGTGAGATGGTATTACGTGTTCCACTGTAGTGGCACTGTTGGCCTGGTGCTGGACCGCATGACATCGTGGTATCCTGCAGCTCTCCTGTTGTTGCATGATGTTACTGCCATTGTGGAGAAAATGTGTTTACCGAACTATTGCCTTGCAACTGCTGTCTCTGCTGATTAAACTATTCTGACTTTCAGTAGACATGCCACAATTTATATTTATGAAATGTTTTGGGCACATGGGGCCCATCATCCAGAACATACTAGCCACCACAGTGTACAAACATAAAAGTATCTAGAAAATGTAAACATCGTAGCAATGGCAACAAAGGCAGAACATGAGAAGAAATTATGTAGAACACACAACACATCATTTAAAAATTTAACAAGAATCAAACTTGACTTTTTTAAAAAGGAGACTTTTAGACTGGCATGTGTAGCATGCCATTAAATATTTGATTTGTTAAAGATCTTTTAGACCTACACATACAACATGCAATGAAATATTGAATATAGTGTAGCAATTTATGTCAATCTTATATGTCCAGTGATGTCCCCATGTAGCCAGAACATATCGTAAGTACATATGAAAACAAGGACTAAGTGGTGGTCTACAAAAGTGTTGCATTTACATGACTGTATTATACACACGTAACAAGTGCCTAACAAATGCAAGTGGATGTTGAGATACAACATTTCTCTTTGGTACTTAACAGTTGTCTTTAAGATTGCAGTTGTTTGTCATTCCTTTGCAAAGTTATGTTATTTTCTGGTCAGATTTATTTCATAGACATCTATAGATATGTTTTTATCATTGATTACACTGCTTATTAAGACAGCTGGTGTGCTGGATAGGTAATGCCAGGGAGTGTAAATTAAGCTGCTGTGAATTGCTGATGTCCAGATTGCTAAAAGTGCTGATGAGAAGAGTGTGGTATTTCAGAGCCCCATGCAAGCGTAATGTTAATGCTGATGAGCGCTCATCTTCTTGCTTGATTAAGAGTGTTTGTATCAGATCTCAGCGTACACCAAATGGGACACCATTTCGGAGCAACTGAAGCCAAGTGAAAGGCCAGTGGTGCTGAACAGAGCGAGTTCAACAAACACTACAAATCCTTTTGGTTCAACGTTCTGCTATGGTTACCAGGATATAATATTTGAGGTAATTACAAGTAGTGGCATTCCAATGGCTGATCAGGCACTCACATCAGTGACTGTGAGGATACTCTTTTTATGGAATGTATTTTATTATTATTATTGGAGAGGGTGGGTTTCCCCATGCACCTCAACTAATAGTCTATTGTAGGTCCCCCTTTGATATTCTACCAGTCTCCATACCCTGCCGGTACTGGTGCTCGCTATCAGCCCCGTTCAGCCAGCAAGGCTGGCTGCGGTACCCGATGCTTCCCCATCTACTGGAGGCATTGGAAACTACTTGGGCAGGAAACTTTTTACCTAATTTAGCTGAGATGTCTCCTAGAAATGTGAGGATCTTTTATGTGCCGTAAATCTACGACACGGGACCCACGGCTTAAAGTCCTTCCCGGAGGACTTGTTCCCTGAATTTTTCCGCCCTTAAAAATTCCACGACATCCGCCAGGTTTGAACCCGCGTAACTTGAGTCATGAGGCGGGAACGTTACCCCTAGACTATGAAGGCCACTTTTTATGGAATGTAAGTCCAAGTATTCTGTCAGATTGTTACCAATACTTTCCTTGAAATTGGGCTTCTAAAGGGCTACTATTTCCTTGCTCTGTTTATCCTGACTTCTCTTAACTTACTATTGGTTGACTCAGCCATCATTTCTCCAACTCACTCATACACTTGGACAATTACTGTTTAAAGGGCCAAGTATTCTTCTCACTGTTTTCACTGCTCTTGGTTCCTTTAGGGACTCAGCCCCAGTCCTCGCTCCTCCTATAGCAGTGCAACTTCCTTCTGTACTGAGTATGTTCTTGTGCTCTGAAAATGAAGATTGTAGGTTTCTTTGAAATGTCGGTATTGATATACCAAATTACACAGCATCACATTCTGGAAGACAGAAATCTTCATTCCATCGTATGTCTTCACAGTAGTCACTGCAATAGAGGAATGATCTTGTACATTCTGTGGGAGATTTGTGGAATAAAATTGAATGAAACTTGCCTTTCTTCTAAAAGGTTCTGATGATGGTACAGTATATGTTGCTCAGTGGGTTTTTGGACTTTGTCCCAGTTTGGACATTTCTCCCATCTGGAGCAGCAGTGAGGTTCCCAACCCACAGAGAAGATCTGTATAACATGACAGAATCTTCATGTGTCTTAGTCTTGGGCATTCAGGTTTTACTCCACAGATGGCTGCAGCATAGACACTGTGTTTTCACAAATTATCCATATAATTCCATACATTGGTGGTCATGGGCTTGGTTTATTGGCTAGGTTTGTAGCATAAATTTCTATCTTTTTGTCCTAGTTGCACGAATGTGCATGCTTTATGACAGTGTCTACTGTATATTTTCCTGTTATCTCCCTTTGACACAGTCTAGTCACAGGTGTTTAAATAGCTGTAGGGAATCTGACTTGGGTTGATTCCATGTGGAGGCGGGGTCAGATACCTCCACCATAGCAACAAAATGGAAAGTATTGAATCTGAGACAGTAAAATATGGTCGGAAATTCCCAGGGGACTCAAACCATAGAATGACTGCGCTGGCGAGGACCTGCAGCAGTTTTAAATGACAGACCCATCCTCATTTCAGAGAGAGCACCCAATATCAACAGAAATGCAACTGTATGACAGCAGTAAGAATCTGGCCATAAGCCCCAAATGGGTGCAACCATTGGTTGTAACATAAGACTCGACTTGACATGTGTTGGAAACTTAAAATCTCAAGAGATATTCAGGCTGAATAGTCTGAACCATATTGTCATAAAGGTAGAACCAAAAAGAGCTCAGACTGGCCTTAGCAGTGCTACAACCGTCAAAATTTTGGCAAGCCCCTAGATGTTTGTGGTGCAGTGATGGCCACCTGCATAGGGAATTCCCTAAAAAGGTAAATACAGAATCTTCGCCAAGCTGTTATAATTGCCCTCTAATAGAAGGAGAGAAACCTCATCTAGCATTGTACCAAGGCTGCAGCCACACAGAAGGAGAAGGGCACAACGTGCTTCCAAGGGATTGTCTAGGATGCTATTATCTAAGTTCACCTCATCAGAACAGTCCTCTGCAGCTTCATTGTGTCGAGACACTCCACAACAACAACCACAGACACCGCAGACAGACAGGAAAAGTGTGCAGCAGCATCTGCCACAACAGACATGTCAGCACAGGCTCCCAGTTCGTCTGACAGTGACACTGTAGTGCGACTGATCATGAATGAGCTTATTGAAGCTGTATCAGAGGAGGGCAAAGTAATAATTGTTACAATAATGGTACCTTACTTAATGCAATAAAATGGCTGCTAGAGTTTATATGCCAATAAGAGTCATAGCATTTGATGCAAATGGCTCTATGAGTTCAGTGAACAGCTGCAAGACTTACATATATATATGACTCTGCTTTCGGATACTCATCTAAAACCACACGAGAGGTTGTATATAGTTGTTCATAGTGCAAAATGAAGCAATTGAATAAAATGCTCTAAGGCCAAGCTCATACATAAGTGATAAACCCATCTTCTCATCAGAGAGGGTGTTACGTAAGGACTATTACCGCAAGTGCTCAGTTGAAATAAAGAATTCTGGCCATGAGTCTCAAGGGACTTGGCACCAAGACAAACTGATTTGTGGTAAACTGCCAATCATAAAGTGACTCTGACTCTGGCATGGGTTGTCTAGTGATTGAGGTTATCTCTTTCTAATGGAGCCAAAAGAGTAGGTGTCTTCCCCCTCACCTGAGAATGGAAACAGATCTGAAACTTTGTGTTTTATAGTTTTTAGAATACTGCAGGATGGATAAAGTCTGAAAACAGTAATTCTGACTTGCCTTTCTTGTACTTTGCAAAACACTCATTTTAATGTGGCCATAACGATGATATGAGTACTATTGTGATTATATGCTTTTTATGTACTGCATATTTCACATGCTGTAAGGTTTCATGAAATGCACAAAGATTCATTCCTTTTTATTTGTTGCCACCTGTCTGCAGAGTGGTAGGCTGGATAGTGGGCAGCTTCCTTCCAGTAAGAGAGTAACATGCTACCACAGATCCAATCTGAGGGCTTGTCTGTGCTCAATAATTGCTCTTAGTATAGCCACTTTCCTTACCACATACTGTAGTAGCTGCTGGAAATCATGTCTTAAAACATCCACATACATTTCACACTGATGTAAACAGTTCTGCAGAATTTGAGGCTTTCACGGCGGTGACTATGAAGAAAGCAGTCTTCTGGGATTTGGCACCGTGTATAAGTGGTGTTAACCGACGTTTCGGAGGAACGTATCGCCTCCATCTTCAGGAGGAGATGGAGGCGATACGTTCCTCCGAAACGTCGGTTAACACCACTTATACACGGTGCCAAATCCCAGAAGACTGCCTTCTTTCAGTTCTGCAGAATTTTGAAAGTCACTTTCCATTATTTCTAGCATAACATTCTGTAAGTTGATGTAAAGTATGGGTTCAGTATGCTTTTTGATTTAAGTTTCACTGCAAATAAAGAGTCACACATCTTCATATTAGGGAAATGTGGTGGCAGTTGTGCTGTACTGTTTGTTTCTTGAACAGAGAGCCCATAGTGCCTGCATTGAATTTTCTGCAGTGTTAGCGCATTGTCCTCATATTAATCATAACCAGTTCTCAGTAATTGTCCAGCACTTTAGCTCATTATGGTTGGGAACCACAAATTGAAAGGATGCTCGCAGCTGACTGGTCTTGAAAGGAAAAATGCATCAGTGAACATTGCACTTCATATCACTTGAGCAGTCTGTTTGTATTAAGGTATTCCATTAAGTTACCCAGATTGGAGTGTGGCTGCACATATGAGGGCATCATTTTCAGCAGCTATGGCTAAGTACGAGGGTAAGTCAATAAGTAAGTTACAAATGGATATAGAACTTGAATAAGAGTACTGATTTGAAAAGTGCTTTTATTTCTCAACACAATCTCCCTGTACACTGAAGCACTTGTCCCATCATTTCACAAGCCCCTGAAAACCAGCAGCATACATTTCTTTGGGCTGCTGTTGGAACCAGGTGGTGACTTCCCTTTCTACAGCTTCATTGTCAGGAAAATATTCAGCTGAAAGATGATGTTTAAGAGGGCCAAACAAATGGAAGTCGCTTGGAGCAAGACTCATCACCTGTGACAATTCGGGCTAGCATATCATGTCCTTCATTGTGGTAGCGATTGAGATGCTGTAATGCCAGACCCATCTTTGCATTTTGTGTTGTGGGGTCAGCATGCGCAGCACCCATTGTGCACAGACTTTGTGAAAACCTAACCTGTCATGTGACTTCCATTTGTTTGGCCCTCTTAACCCTTACACTGCTGCAGTTGACATATGTCAATCTCTGAAAAACATGGCATCCTTGCTGCAATCGACAAAACCCGTATTTCTAGAGTTTTAGATCTCAGGTTTTTTTGCACCAATCTCATTCAAACTTGGTGGGTGCATGGAGTCATCTATTGGGAACATATTGAAGCATCATTCATTTCAATGGGTGCATTTTTCTGACCTCTAGCTTAACACTTTGCGGACCGGCAATTTAAATATTTAAATCACCCTGGGGACCGGCATTTTTTAACCCACTACCCTAACTTGCGCACTGTTCACTTTAATAATTAATATAAAATATCCTAATTAATTTTATGAACTAAACTTTTTGGAGAACACTTACCAATGCTTCTAGAAGTGCTTGAGAGTGTGATATTTCTGGAAACATTCCCCTTCTACCTGCACTTTCGTTGGAGCTTGAATGGTCAAAGATAATTTTCCTTTGGAAGGGGTACCCAAACAGTGAGATCAAGTTACTGCCTACTAAGCAAACATTCCGGAATAATATTACGCAGTAGTCATTTTATTTAGGTGGCGCCAGAGAAAGGTATAATGTGTTACAATCTAACGTGTCCTAAAGTCATAAAAATATGCCACCGGTCCACCACGTTTAAAAGCGCTGGGCATAAAAATATGCAACCAGTCCGCAAAGTGTTAAGAATTGTAAAAGGTTGCATCTGCACAGTGAGGCA